AGTTACTATTACTACTGACCTTAGTAAAAACTGGCGTTGTATTTTATTAACAGTTGCTAAAGTCCCTATACAAACATACTGAAAAATTCAGTCATCCACCTTCCTATTTTCAGTATCTTTATGTGAAGTTTTCTCATGGTTTCTATATAGAAAGAATGTAATATTTCTCACATCCATAAAGGCAAGATTCTAACAACTTCTGTTTCCCAAACACTACAAGAAAGGGAAGAATAACGTATATGAGTCTACCTGGGATAAAAGGAAATCCTGCAGTTCTTGCTCTTGATGGGACAACGTAATAACTCTTCCATCTCTATGCACAACTCTGATCTGTTCAACTCCGATGTTCAGCTGTAGCTGAATGGATCTTTGAAGACAAGATGCATATTTATTCAAAATGCATTACAACACTTAAGAAAAGTCAAGAACATATAATCCCTCTCATTCACTGACAAGAAGTCTAAGACGAGGATGGCGCACAGCCTACGGAATGCGACAGCCACTCCAAACATTTCAGCTTCCTCACTCACCACAACAGCTCCCTCTACACTGCAGGACACACGTATTCTGTGGCACGTTCCCAGACCTGGTCCACTGCTTGCTCAGGTCAAGGAACTTCCTGAGGTGCCTCACAGCTCCCTGCCTGCCACTGTGCCCAAGTTTCCTTCCAGAGGTGCAGGGGAAAATGGTGTGTACTCAGGGCCTGTTCTATCCTACAGCCAAGACCTGGGCAGCATAGGTGTTCTGGAACTGAGACTGCACATTGCACCAACAACCGCAGCCTGCTCCACGCTGCGGACACAGCCAGAAAGGACTCCTCAAAATGGAAAAAACAACTGGGTCATCCACTGTCAATGCATTTGTTAATTCACTGCTGGTCAGCATGCAGATATCCATTTCTGGAACATGGAATCTCTTATTTCGATGACAATGTGCATAACCAATAGCATGAATGACGAGTTTCACATTTCAGTACCTACGCAACCAAGCTAGGACTGAGCGCTGACTAGCTCTCCATGACCAGACTGGAAGTTTAGAATCTGGCACATACAAAGATACTTTATATTCAGCTACCTCTATCCAAAGTAACTCCCCCCTTAAACGGTCACTTTCACCTTCAATTCCTTCTTTGAAAGGAAACTGTGCTAGTTAACAACTTACTAAGTTTCTTCATTAAAGTGTAAAGTGGGTGAAGAGTTTTTCTTAGGGTGGCTGTTCCCCGCACAACTCTGGGAAAAACCACACTCGCACACAAATAATGGGCTGCTACTGGTCTGTCTGAAGAGAATCTAAACCTGTAAAACACAACTTGAATACGCTCTGCCATTGCTGCATGCTTCTACGAATAGGAAGATACATGCATTTTCATACTTACTTGCATATCTGTTCGTATCCTTGAGAAGTTATTAGAACTTTAACACTGGATTCATAAACATCATTTATATTGGACCAGTGGGCCTGAATCTGAGGATCCTCAATACGACTAGCCAGACTGTCAATGGTTCGAGCAGTTCTAGAAGGTAAAGACATATTCCACACACAATAATCTGGACAGTTTGTGCTGTTATCTCATTTAAAAGAAACATGCAGTCTATTAGTTTAGCAGGGGTTTTTTTGTGGCACACAAAAAAATAAAGACAAATTTAACAGCACCATGTGGATCAAAGTTCTATTTCAGTACCATTCTGGTGCTACTGAAGCACACTTGTTTACTCTGTACATTTCACATACATTTTGCAGCACTATTAAAGTGGTATTACTCAGTATCGGCTACTGCACAGCAAAGAATACTAAAAAAGATTTATGCAGTATTATCAGCTGCCTATATCATAACTATCATAGAGATCTTGAAGAAATCTGATTTTTTTCTTTTTTTTACTAGCTGTGTGTTGTTTGCTCATATTTCATGATACATTATCGGTTCTTAGTACTTAATAAAGACTATTTTAACAGCGAAGGAAGAAGCAGCTAGTTTTAAGAACACTGAAAAAGATTAAATATATTCTACATAATGGTACATTTTATTGTAACTTTAACAACAATAGCTTGTGACCTACCTGCGTCTCAAAAAGATGTGTTTTGCCTGCTTTATTATCTTTTCCAGAAGTCCTTCATTTGACTGTAAAGAACTGATATCATTTTTATCAAAAGCCTGGGGTCCTGCAAGTCTCATTCTCTTATGCCCAAAAGGCGCACTAGCTGGATGTGGCATCACTGTTGAGCTCAGGGTTTGCTTGTGACACTGCAACAACCAAAAGATGCTATAAAAGGAACTGACCAAATAATGTATCTGCAAGAAATATGTATACTACAATATGCTGCTTCATGTCAGTTTTTTTAAGTGCACATACTTTCAAAAATGCAACTTTTTTACTGTATAAACTTGACAGCACTTTAAAGCCACCTTTACACTCATACTTTGCCTCCCCTGTTCATGCAGGTCTTTCAAATCTTGCAGTAAGTGGTTTTTCAGAAAAGGTGCTAGCTAACAAAAATTTGGTAGTACAGCAGTAGCTCCTACTAGTAAGGCTGCCTTGTATACATCTTTGGAGACACACAGAATGGTCAAACAAAAATAAAGGAAGCATTTTAGAGATTAAAAATTGAGGTACGAAAAGGTGTAGCAACCTGTTCACGAAAGGAAATTCACAACAGAGCTGGGCACTAAGCCAAAGCTTCATGAAACCTAGTTCAGTGTTTAAAACACTGGATTGTTCCTCACGACTGCATGACTTGCCAAGCCACGCTCTAAGGAGGTGAGCGCTCTCTGGAACATGGTTTCACAACTGCTTGGACATGTAAAATTTTCCTCCTTTCCTGAACAGACATAGCCTCAACCTTCTACCCTACGTCCTTCTGCTAGATTATATGAGAATCTAAAACACCGAAGCAGAGAAGTGGACCTCAAAAGGAATGAAGCTATTATGGTAATTGATTGTTCTTTTTTCACGGGAGTACAGTCTGAACAGATGCTCACTTAAACTACTTGAGAAGCACTTAATTAAACACAAAGGAAAAAGGAAGACTGACGAGCTGCACTGGAAAAACCTTGCACAGCTTTTCTGACGTGAGCAGCCGGGCCTGAGGTTAAGTAAAGAACAAGCGTTCCATGAAAGCATTAAGTGGAACTCCCTAACCACCCACCCACCCACACGAAAACTGAACAGCAGGCTGCCTTACACACAGGGACAGAAAGCGACTGGCCTCCAGCGGCGCTCTGTTGTTACAACAGTGCCACACATACCAGACGAAACAAACACCCCAAAACTCTTCAGTACTTGACCATAAATGCATTACCTCTCTGATAAGTTGATGCAAATTATGTTCCAGAACATAGAGATGATCCTCTGGATTCTGTTTTTCAGAAGCAGACTTCTGCGATTTTTTGTCATTGGAAGAGTGACACAGAGAAATCGACAACTGCAAACCTGTACAAAGCAGACTGAAAACTGTCAGTGTCCTCATTTTCCTTTTTTTTTTTTTCCAAGCAGGCTACTGAGAACTGCTTTTCCTCACATTTTGTCAGTAGTTTTACAACCAGTATTCACCATATCAGAAAAATCAAAGAATGATGATGGAGAGCACAGCACCAAAGGCAATTAAGACTTGCTATTTGCTTAAGCGTGGACAGGCTAACTACTAAGTCACTAGGTGCACTTCACACCAATTTCTATGACTCAATCCCACATAGAAGAAGAGTCCCCAGGACCCCACTCCTTCCCCAAAGAAGGAATGATTTACCATTACATAAACTTTAAGCAATCCAGAAACATATTCCTCACATGATACAATCAGTTGTGTACCCCTTGTAAGAACAGAGGATTCACCAGCCGACTCTGAGCCATCTTTATGCTGTTTAATTACCCTCACTGAAGAGTATTAGCCTCCGTTCTTCTGAAGACCCATTAACTCGAGTCTTAAATTTCACCTGCATGCAATCCAGGAGCAATGACTTACGCACAGCTCCAAACTGCAATGTGGACATGGCATTACACTTGATAGCTTTAAGTGCTACTGGCAAAAAACACGATCACAGAGAAAAACAATCCAAAATCCACGCAATAAAGTATGAGCAAATTAGAAACTAAAGTGCAGTAGTTGAATATTTCTACAGTTAGCAAGCAAAATTCAAATTCTGGGAAATTCTGTTTTTTAAAACCTTTGAAAACGAAGATTATTTTTTGTTTGGTTGGGGTTTTGTTTGTTTGTTTCTTTTTAAGAACAGAGTGTTAAAAAAACGTCACATCAATCAGAATTTCAGTTCATGTTCAAGCAAATAATCATAGGTTAAGAAGTCTTAAAAAGTTTCCTACCTGGGAAAGGCTGGGAGATTATCTGATTTTTCACAACAATATGAGGAATTTGTGATTTAATTTGCACAGCTTCCCGTGACAGCTGGGCAAAAATTTCTTTACATAAAAGAACATTCTGTGCAGTCTCCAACTTTGTCTGCCAGTGTGGAGAACCTGAAAAATATAAATCAATATTTGCAGAAGGAAAGAGTAAAGAGAAGCTCCCTTTTTGTTCAGATACCAGATACTGTGCAGTAGCTGTGAGTAATCTCTATGGTAAAGCAGTCAGCATCTTCTATCCAAATTCAGCATTTTCAGAATTTTATCTCAGTTATGCAAGCGCTTTCAGGTAACACTAATACATTTTACATCTATGCATATCACAAACTGCAGCTCCCTTCTGGAACTGCCTATTACATTCCCAGGCCTTTTGTGACCTCTGCTTACGAACCTCTGCTTCTTAAACTGCAATTTACTTTCAATGACACTTCCAGCTCTATTAAATTCACTCTACAATGAGCCACCAAATAATATTAAGTTCATGTATGTGCTTTCACAGGATTTATAGGCCCAAAATTCTTGGAAGATTTTGGTCTGAGTAAGCACAGAAGCTCCATACTGTACCCTTCAATACTACATGGAACATCTACATAGTAGTACAGCATTCTGTCTACGTTCAAGACAGCACAAGCCTCTGTGTCACAGACCACTGTGAAATAAAATCCTGCCAGTTCTTTTTAATCCTAAAGAGTAAAGGATGGATTTTTAATCCCAAAGGTTTACAGCTTCACATACTGGCACATATTAAATGAATCAATCTACTATCTGCCAAGTGAACTGTCGGTAGTTAATACACATACTGCCAGCAGTTTGAGATCCAGAAAAAAAACATACAAGCCACAGAAACAAATGATGCATTTTGGGCAAAGTTAAGCATGAACTGACAGTCATTCCGTTCAGTTGAACTAAAGGGATGTAACTGGCTGAAACACAATACCTTGATTTGCTTTCGGTTATGTGCTCAGACTTTTAACAGCTAACAAAAGGTGCTCCGAAATACTTAAAATACAATCCTAGTAATTTTATTTCAGAAACTGAGTAAACACATATGAAAAACTGAAGGAGTATGCTTTGGAAGCATCATGTTTCCAAAGCCCGTGCAGCACCTAAACAGAAGATTTCAGTTTAAATAAGAATATTCTTGCTCACTCTTCTTTCAAGCTACATGCTAAAATTTTCAAATAAGCATCCTATGCAAACCCATTGCTTAAGAATATGCTCAAAAAACAACATATAGTTAGCTATACCTGGTTTTGATTTTGGCATGGGTCTTTTAAAAAGATTGACTGTCCCAAGGTCACCAATGTCTGGAGCTTGTTTCTGAATAGAAACCTAGACGAAAGAGAACGTTATTTGATGTTTGTTCTTTGTTGCAAACGTGCAAATACCAAAACAAAACCCATGCTGCATCATGAAAGTTTCTCTGGCAAACCTTGATATAGGCTGATCCCTCTAAATCACTTGGAATTTGAACATCCAAGGGACAGTAATCCTCAGGTATCTTTTTATCCAGGTCAATGTCAGTGTTCTTTATCACCTCGAATGTGCCATGGTGAAGAAAAAGGGAACCTAAGAAAGGCAGGACAAAGACATACATATTATATATATAAAGCACCATCTGCAAATAATGAAGCTCATACCTCTGTTTTGGAAGAATACGTATTTCAAAGTCTCCAAACCTCCATAGTTGCACTTGACTCAAATTTCTTAATGACTTCTTAGAAAAAAACAGGTAAATTAGAAAGCTCATTTCAGCACATCAGTGTCTCAGTCCTCCAGTGTGTGATGTGTAGTATTTTACAGTAAGTTAGCAAGTAGCATTTAATAATTATGGGAGAAAACGAACAGTGTTTCAAAATAGTGTCAGTAGATGCAGGGAAGGAGAGAAAAAAGAAAAGATATTTGATTAAAACAAAACAAAAAGTTAACTGCCCAAAGCTTCACAAGCAAGTAGATGAAGTGCAACACCCTTCCTGATTTAATGGAATGCTCATGATGTTTGGTTTGCAGTCTTAAAACTATGACAACGTTCTGTCTGTAAAAAACAGCTGTACAGCCAGGCACTCAGATGGGACTGACAAAAGCAGATGCCCACATCTACCCTAGCTGCATCCAGGGCACAGTTCATCTAGTTTAGGATCCACCACCTAAAAAGAGACATCTACAGGTTCTTCATGAACACAAGATGAATAACCCTAAATTTGTCCTTCTCCTCCTTCACCGATGACAATCGGAGCCCAGCATAACCAGTTCAGATGCCTGCTTTGTATCCGCCTGTTCAGGTTTGTGAGATTTTGTACTTACTCTTTCACTCCGTAACTGGCTCTAGAAGCGCGGGCTGGTTACCCTCTCTTACTGTAATCCATGAAATAATACATATTCTCGGTATCATTTCTCACAAGTGTAGGAACAACAGGTATCACAAATCTATCTTTGACAATGCTCTTTAGTCATACGGTTTAGTTTCAGGTAGTCCTCCAAGGAGCAGGGAGTTAGATGCAATGATCCTTATGAGTCCCTTCTGAGTTCGGCTACTCTACAATTCTACGATCTTCGCTCAGAGGAAAATGCAACATACTCCCCATTTTTTTTTTTAAATGCTTTACAGACCAAATGTAGATAAACCCAAAGATTTACAAGGTCTGCCTGTCAACTGATCAACTACATTGTCAATGCAGAATTGTTTCCGTAAAGCAATCTTTACTAGAATCCTATACAGTCAGCCTTTAAAGTCACTTCCTAGGTTGAAGATGGCATGATATTTTTCCTGGTAATAAAACAAGCTTTCTCCTTTTATAATCCTGTCTCATAATCACAAGTAACTTTTATTAAATTATATTATTTATTATTAGAGATATCCCATCTCTTTTTCCAGTTATAGAAAAAAAATATATATAAATGTCCATTCCTGAGAAAAACTGAAGACCCTACTATTTACCTGCACTTCTGTAGCTCAGATCACCAAGAATTTTGTCTCCCACTTTTCTCAGCTTCCAGTGTTGCCTCAGTCTTAGCAGTTCAGAGTTGAAGTCTCTTTGTCGCTTATTTTCCTGGTTTTCTGCAACTGATTTGGATAATCTTTCTGCACCTTTCAACAGGATTTGAGCTGCTCCAGCTAATGACTTCTTTTTTGAAATCAACTGGAGAAACTGAGGATTCTAGTAATAAAAAAAAAAAAAAAGAGAAAAAGCTACTTGTACCTTAATTCTCAGAAAATTATTATTAGTGGGAACTAATTGACAGTGACTGATAATTCAGTGACTGGTGCGGTTGACACGCCTGAGGGACAGGATGCCATTCAGAGGGACCTGGACAAGCTGGAGAAATGGGTGCACGTGAACCTCATGAGGTTCAACAAGGCCAAGTGCAGGGTCCTGCACCTGGGTCGGGGCAACCCCCAGTATCAACACAGGCTGGGGGATGAAGGGATTGAGAGCAGCCCTGCCGAGAGGGACTTGGGGGTACTGGAGGATGAAAAGCTGGACATGAGCCACCAATGTGCGCTGGCAGCCCAGAAGGCCAACCGTATCCTGGGCTGCATCCAAAGCAGGGTGGCCAGCAGGGCGAGCGAGGGGATTCTGCCACTCTTGCTCTAATGAGACCCCACATGGAGTCCTGCATCCAGCAATGGAGCCCTCAGCACAGGAAAGACATGGAGCTGTTGGAGTGGGGTCAGAGGACACCACAGCAATAATCCAAGGGCTGGAACACCTCTGCTGTGAGGAAAGGCTGAGAGAGTTGCGGCTGTTCAGCCTGGAGAAGAGAAGGCTGCGGGGAGACCTTATAGCAGCCTTTCAGTACTTAAAGGGAGCCTATAGGAAAGACTAGGACAAGGGGTCATGGTTTTAAACTAAAAGAGGGCAGATTTAGACTAGATACTAGGAAGGAATTTTTTACAGTGAAGGTGGTGAAACACTGGAGCAGGCTGTCCAGGGAAGTTGTGCATGCCCATCCCTGGGAGCCTTCAAGGCCAGGCTGGATGGGGCTCTGAGCAACCTGATCCAGCTGAAGATATCCCTGCTCACTGAAGGGAGGTTGGACTAGATGAGCTTTAGAAGTCCCTTCCAACCCAAACTATTCTGTGATTCTATAACTTGTTTTTAATGGATGTTCACTAACTTAGAATTACAAGCATCAGCATTACAAGCAGCATTTTGACTTCAATGGCCTTTGAAATCAGCCTCACCTCCCATTCGCAGCCTTACCCCGACTCATAAAGCACTGCATCAGCACATTGCAAGGGACATTTCACTAAATATTGTACGTATCATATATGAAAATAATGCAGTGAAACCAAATCTTCAGCATCAAGCCACAAACCCCACGCACCTAGGTACAATATACCTGCTTTGGAGGAAGGGGATCCTGCCCCACTGGATCTAGAGTCATGAACTTTTTATCCTTCACAATGCTGAGCACATCGTACAGCACACACATCTCAGTCAAGGCGCTTCTTAAGTTGTTCCTCACTGAATCCCAAGGCCAGAGGGATGGCTGGAACTTCACCAACCCTAAGGATAACACAAAAGCAGGGGAAAACAGAGGATTGCAAACAGAAACGGTGTAAGGCTCACTCTTAAGCCACGGAGACGGCAGCGGTGTCAGACACAGCACAACGCCCGCTATCCGGATCCACCCCCTCCCACTCCGCCGCTGTAACGTGCTGGGGCTC